ATATATATTCCTGAATATCTTACAGATTTTTGGCTGATAATTATGAAAATTACCTGTAATTTAACATATCATGTATTATTTCATAGAAATCTTATATTTTTACATAATGGCAACATACACTATTCAGTTGTTGTTGTTGTTCAGTCACTAGGTTGTGTCTGACTCCTCACAGTCCCATGGACCATAAATATGATAGGCTCACCTATCCGCCACTATCTCCCAGAGTGGCCCAAATTAATGTTCATTGTGTTGATGTTACCATCTAACCATCTCATCTTCTGCCGTCCCATTTTCCTTCTGCTTCAATCTTTCTCAACCTCAGGGCCTTTTCCTCTCTTCTCATTAGGTAACCAGAGCATTTGCACTTCAGCTTCAGTACCTCTCCTTCCAAACAATAGTCAGGGTTCATTTTCTTTAGGATTGACTGATTTGATCTCCTTGCAGTCCAAGGGACTCTCAAGATCTTCTTTAGTAGAACAATTTGAAAGCATCAATTCTCTGATACTCAGCCTTCAAGTCTCACAGCCATAAATTACTATTGGGAAAACCATAGTTGGCTATGCTGCACACATGAAAGAAATGGATGAAAACATAGAACTGTTGCTGATAGTTACACATTCAATACACCAAATTCAACTGAAGTACTTGGGGAGATATAAAGAGAGTGGCTCTTCTGCTTGGAATGCAACTTGAATATACCAAGTACTGTTGTTACCTTTGTGAAAGGAACAGCTGGGTAAGAGAATTGCAATACAACAACTACTCTATAGCTGAATAGCTATAGTGGAAATAGGCTACTCTGAAAGTGAATCTTCACTGACATGTTGCACCTCATGGTCTTATATGATGTATGACAGTTGTCAACTAGTTGAATGCAATTTGGTGCTCTGTAGTGGTCAATAAATTTCTCAACAACATTCTTGAATGCTTTTCAAGCAATTTTCTCTGGCCCCACTAACAAATCTTCAAGCCATTTCTCATTGATGACGTATCTGATCTGTGGACTAACACAAATGCCTTTCTTAATTTTGGCATCAGTTATTCTTGGAAACATCTGACTGAAAAAAACAAAAACATTGATCTTCCTTGTTCATCACTTTCACAATTTTTTTTAATCAATCTGAGTTTTATATGAAGCAGTGGCAAAAATATCTTTGTCATATCAATAAGTGATTTATGTACCATGTTTTTCTGTCT